TTCTTTGTTTTGCTTGCATGCATGTCAGTACACAGTGCATGCAATGCCCATGGCAGGCATTAGATCCCTTGGAACTGGAGTTATATACAGTCCATGTGGGTGCTGGGAACCAAACCCAGGTCCTCTGCAAGAGTGCTCTTAACCTCTGAGCCATCTCCAGCCCCTACATTTTTGTATTTCTATTTCTTTGAACTGGTATGTCCATTTTCCCAGCATTTATCCATTTTTCTATATAACAAAATTCCACAACAAGCCTTTGGAACTTCAGTATCTCCTCAAACAAGCGTAGTGCAGTATATTTAATTGCTCCCAGTTTTCTTCCATATCTCCAGTTATACAGTGAAAGTCCTTATATGTAAATCTTTCTTTAGCTACAACTTCATTTTCTTAGCATAGGTTCCTGAAGTATCAAAACAAGAATGTTTCTATGGAATGCCAGGTAATCTTCCCAGCAGGTTGGCTGACAGTCTCCCAAGATACCCAGGCTTTAGAAACTGCTGGTACTCAGTAGACGCCATGAGATGTGCACAGCATCCTCTCAGGCGGGTGTCTGGGTGTCTCTTTTTAGCCTCCACTTCTCATATTCATTTTCAGCAAAAAGTAGATGACTGTGACCGCTGCCGAGAATTTTTCAGCAAAGAAGGGCATGTGAAGGGCATCAGCTCAACCAAGGAGGTTTTAGATGAGGACACAGATGAAGAGAAAGAGACACTCAAGAACCAGCTGAGGGAGATGGAGCTAGAACTGGCACAAACCAAGCTGCAGTTGGTAGAAGCCGAGTGCAAGATCCAGGTAATGTCAGTGATACACAGGCACACAAACTCCATAGTCCAGAAATAAATTATCTTTATTGCTTGAGATGTCTGTTGCCCCACGCCCCCCCCCGACCCCCAGTTTAAACTCTGTAGCCCTCATGGGAGAAGCTCAATACTTTTAATTACCAGTGAGCGTTTCATCAGTGTTTAGCCCTGACCTGACCTAAGGATCTAGACTTTGCAGTATTAAGAATTAGCCAGGTGTGGTGGCACATGCCTTTAATCATAGCACTCAGGAGGCAGAGGCAGGTGGAGATCTGTGAGTTTAAGGCCAGCCTGGTTTACATAGCAAGTTCCAGTTTGAACTACATAGGGAGACCCTGTCTTGAAAAAGTTAAAAATTTTAATAGTAATGTTAAGAATTACCAACAGAGCCTCAGTCTTTTTAGTGGGACGCAGAACTCATACTATAAAATCACAGCTCTACCATTGAATTTTGGTTAGTGACCTCTCTGCACTTCAAGTTCCTTATCTACATATACAAACTGAAGTTCCAACCTTTGTCAGGCTGTCCTGAGTACTAAAAATGGTAAAGTGCAAGAAAGGCTCTATATATTGATAGGGGGCTTCATCAAAGCAGGCTTTTATTGTCCTAGCACCTAACATTTAACTAGATTTGTGACCATGAGCATACTACCTGACCTGTGTTAGTGTCCAGCTGTACTTTTCACTGGGTACCATGTGTGGCAGGAACCCAAATTAGATCTAAAACTTCAGCTCTCCCATTCCACATGCCATTACAATGAGCCTTCTGGGCTGAGAGAGCAGCTCGGGCCACAGCTGAAGGAGAAGAGACCTGCCCCGTGAGTACTCTCAGGAAGGACCTTCCGTGCCAGAGAGGATGAAGTGGGTGCCACAGCTGGCAGAGAACATGTGTGCCCAGTCTCTAAAGCATCTCAATGCCATGCTAAGTGACTTGGACTTTTCAGGGATTTTAACTGGAAATCAGTGATGCAGCCAGCATGAGTTATCTACCTGGTGTGCAGGATAGGTATGGGAGACATTAAATGAAGAGGTGGTTTAATAGGCTAGGTAAGAAATGGTCTTCAGTAGAAAAGCTCCCAAGTCCCCAGGCATTCCAGACCTTCCTCTGCCTGCTTAGGTATTTCTAGTGGCCACTGGAGAGTTAACTAGACAGAGCTCTTCACGCAACTCTGAGGAAGCTGTGCCACCAACACTGGGGCTGAGATTCTCACACATTGTTCTTTCTGCAGGACTTGGAGCATCACCTAGGCCTTGCCCTCAGTGAGGTACAGGCAGCCAAGAAGACCTGGTTTAACCGTACGCTGAGCTCCATAAAGACGGCAACTGGGGTTCAAGGCAAAGAGACTTGCTGAGAGCCGCCGCTGCCTCCAGACATCTGCAGAAACACACCACCTTTTGTTGCCTTCTTTGGCCAGATGTGTGATTCTGTGACATGTTCCAGGACCAGAACATACCTAGGTCAGATCTGTAGATGTATGTCGGTAGGTCAGCAAGCCAGGGCTCCTGTGACAGGCAGGCTTTGCATAAGGGTCTTCCCGTCGCTAACACCAACAGGCTGCCAACCCAGCTGGTGCTCTGGACACACACCAGAGTCACACCTCAGTGCGCCACCCAGGCCTCTTCCTGTGCAAGTCAAACCTCACCCAGCTTCAAGGCTGAGTTTACATGATCAGAGTTTGGGGATCCTTCAGTGTGTTGGGGTCCCCCCCCCGCAAACCTTTAATTAAAAAAGAAAAAAAAAAGTACAGAAATACATACATACATACATACATATATATCTGGTGGGCTCAGGAGCAGGAGGGCAGGGATCAGAAACTAGAGTAACTCATCTGTTGGTGTCAGCAGAAGCCCCCAGGAGACACAGAGAAGCACTTTGTTTGAAGTATGTGGTTTTGTAGTCACAGCTTGAGTCACTTAGTCCGTTAACCAACACAGTACACGTTTTGGTTTGGCATTACTCACATTTTTGATCAATTCTATGCAACGCTCATAGTCCTGTCATTTTTTAGCATTAGCTGCCAAAGGCTGGAGTGGGCAACATGACTGAGACTAATCATGACATGGACAGATCTTTGTTTAATGTGTACATATATGTGTATATATATATGTGTGTGTGTGTGTATGTATATATATATATATATATATAAATACCTTTCCCAATGTCCCCCATTGACGGTGTTTAGCTCCTAGATTAGGACGATCGATCTGTACAGCTGACGTCCATGGTGATCTGGGCACTACTTTCACTGGAGGCTCGTTGGGCTCTGCTGTTTTTCTTGGGAGCTGGGAAGAGCTCCTTCACCTCTAGAGTGTTTGCACAGCAAACTGTACCAAGGGAGGAAGACCGAGCTATGTCCTCAGTACATGACAGTATGCACACAGAACCTCCTGACCTCCGTCTGTCAGGTCTCTGAGCCCTCCCAGGATGTGGCTGGGTGCAGATCTCTGTCCAGATGGCTGCAGGTTCTCAATTCAAAGCTATGAAATGGCGTTTTAGCACCTTTTTTATTATTAAAAACAAACTTCTAACTCTTAATTTATGTGGTGATATGCTGACAAGCCATCTCACAGGTGGTTCATCCTCTGTGCTCAATGTGGTGGCACTGGTTTGTATATAGGGACAGGACACTTGGGTTGTTTTCTATCTCTTTTCCTGTTGGCTTTACTAATGCTTGTCAAAGTCATCTGTGGTTGGGAGAGAGCAAGTGGCAACCCCTCCCCAAGACTGTCCCCCTGCCACTTTCTGTGTCTTTCTTGTTCAGTTACTAAAACAGCTGTAGGCCCATCGAATCCTAGGTGCGTGGACGCTGCTAGGATAGTTTGTGTGTCAACTTTATGAACCGAAATATAAACCAGTAAAATTGTATTACTATTTCTTTTGTTCATTTTCTTTTAACAGCATATTCATTAAATATTTTGGTACAAACATTGCTTTGTACAAACTACTTTTATCATTGTATGTTCCTGTTCCATGTGTTCCAACCCCCCACAAGCAGAATCAGGCCAAGCATGTGTCGGCATATGTCAACATTCTACAGCACCCCACTGCCCTCTTGCCCAGAGTCACATGCAGAACTCAGGTGTTCCACCCACATGGGGAAAAGGAGGCGGAGAACAGAGGTTGTGTCCTTTGAGAAATAGGTACATGTGGCCCTCCCTGAGAAGTGCAGTGGTGACAGGTGAGACACTTAGTTCTTAAAAGAGGGGAAAAATGGCCAGGCGGGGCTGGAAAGAGCTGAGGAGCACAAAGGTAGCTAAAGCACACGGGCTCCCAGAATGCTCTGCCCAGCTTCAGGAAAAGCAGCAGCATGAGCAGACGAGCCAGTAATGAAGTTCCTTCTCTTCATCAGTGACCCTTCCAATTGTCTCTCTACCACAGGATGTGGGCCTCCAGGCTCACTGCCAGCCCTCTTTACTTAAGCTCACAACCCCTCCCTTTCTCTGTAGCTTGAAGTGTTACTTTTCTAACCCTAACCCTTCAGCCACCACTTGACCTGATCTCTAAGACCACCTATAAATACCCTGCCTCCGAAGAGAAACATGCCAGGATGTGGACCAGGGTAAATAATCCCTGCCTGGCTTTTCTGGGTCAAGGCTTAGACCCAGCCTGTGGCAAGTACTCTTGGAAAGACCAGGGCAGTGACTCCAGAGCACAGTCAAGAACCTACTAATGTTCATGGCTGGAGGACATATTTCTGGGATTCACATTCATTCGCAGGCATAAGGGTCCCATGTTTAGGAGTGTAAGGACTTGACAGAATCATTACTGAAGCTGTACACTCAGACAGGAGCCTATCATACAATATTGTTGCTGCTGATGCTGGGCTTCAGTGTCCTGTGTGGCAGTGCCTGGCATCCCGAAGTTTTCCTGGCCTCTTTCCACTAAATTTAACCACACACACAGACTGCCCAAATACCACCCAAAACACTGCCAGGTGTTGTGAAGCAGTCCCTGGAAGGCACCTTATCCCTTTGTTGGAACCACTGCTGTCACCTTAAGTTGAATGGAGGAGAATGTGCAGGGAATGTGAAGACTAAGCAAACACCAGAGGCCTAGGACAGACACAATGGGGAAAAGGTGAGCAAGTGCCACACAGGGTGAGAAATGGAAGTGGCTAATTAGCTAGAAGCCATGTTAGAGTTTTCTGAGAAGCTGGTGAGGCAGATCCAAAAATGGGACACTGTAGGTTGCAGGTGAGGGTCTACTACAGTGGATCAAGGACAGGAGGCAGACCCAAGCACACACAGATGTAAAGACTGGCTATCAAGAAATGTGGAGAGCGCGGTTCAAGAACCACAGAAAGGGCAGTACGAGCTGGGAGCTCGTGTTCTGCTGGGAGCCTAGCCACAGTGCTCTTGCCGTGCTCTCAAGGGTAAATATAGTGTAGGCTGAGGACAGGCATTCTGGAGCAGTTCAGACCCTACCCTGCTCAGCTACAGCTCTCAGGCTGAAGGAAGAGTCTTAAAAGGCAGGAGTTACCAGCCCGAATCACCACACTTGTGAAGTGAAAAGCCCAACTGGAAAGGGTGAAGAGTGAAAAAGGATCCATGGGAACCCCAAATAAGCCCAGAACACCATGTCAAGTTTGGAACTGACCAAAAGTTGCAAAAACCAGAGCTTGTGTGGAGGTAAGTGTGGTAACACTGGCCCCTCCTGGCTTGGTGAGTCACTTCACTGCTCAGAATTACTGACACTGATTAAAGCCTCTTCTAAAATGTGCTGGGGAGAACAGTGAGAGGACATGAGCTGCAGCAGAGAGGATTAAAATCATACAAAATGACAAGCTCAAAGAGCAACAGGTCTGAGCACTAGGTTCCCTACCTACCTATTTCATAGGTGAAGAAATCACAGCTCACAGAGGGTCCTGGCCAAGGCCACGCAGCTGGAATGGTGGCCTGCACCTACCTCCCAGCAGCCAGCAGGGCAGCTGCTTTAAGATGACCACCTGGGTGGCAGACAGGTATACACTGCCACAGCTCTTCACTGTAAGTACATTACACAGACGTGAGCCCAGATGAAAACATGACCTTGAATGCAAGCCCCATTCAACTTTCCTCTGTGCCTCTTTGCCTCATAGGGGTTGCTGAGCTTCTGTGCAAGCTCTCAACTTGTCACACATTCCTTGTCCTCATTCCCTAGTTCCCCAATAACATTTTTGCTTGGGCTGAGCCCTGTGCCCATCACAGGCAAGAACACCTACCACCCCAGCTCAGGCTAGGAGAATGCAGCAAACCGGCTCTTTTGTCCACACTAGCAGGACTGGCAAATGGTGTACCAGGGGACTAAGTCTAAAAGTACTTCAAGACAACACCCAGTGCCACTGTTTACTTACCTAGCTTGGCTCTGATGGGTCCAAGCCTTATAGTGATCTCCAGCAAGAATCTTCTGGGGGCTCAAAATGCTGCTGCCCCACAGACGCTCCACTCCCTGACCTCTGGCTCCGGGATTTTATGTGACTGATCCAGTAATGTCTGAGTCTTGGGATAACCCATGGGACACTTGTGAGAGTTAGGAGCAAGGGATGTAAAAAGGTCTAAGATTCAGCACTTAGACAACATACTTACCACTCAGAGCCAACCTGAAGTTTGACGTGAATAGAACTGAACCATTAGAAACATTTTAAGAACCACAGAAGTGTGGAAAAGCCCTGGCCCCACAGCTTAAACTACTGGCCATGTCAGGAGCCCTTCAATCATTTCATCAAAGTAGGTCCTACACAGAAGAGTCCAGCCCATTGCTGTTTAGCACAGAGTATTTATTTTTATTCACCCAAATGGAAAAAATGCAACATGTCAAGGCATTACAAACTGCAGCAGTCAGACAAGAGAGAGGGTCAGTCTATGGCAGAGTCCAACATACTTAGCACAAAGGAGCCACAGTGTGGGTGCTGCCTGTGGGGGTCGGAGGAGCAAAGTCCCTTTGGATGAAGGCCAGGCATCTCTGGGCGAGGCACTGATGACAGTCCACACATGCAGGCTGCTGCTTCAACCACGCCGACACTTTAAAGTCCAGAGTCTACACGTAACCATAGCCCCAGAAGGCATGGGGCAATCCAGGGTAGGTGTGGTTTCCAAAGTTTAACAGTATACAACATGAAGTTATTGCCAAAGACTTTGCACTGCAAACTTTACTATTTACACTTGTGTACTCAGAAAAACACAGTATGGATAGGTATTTTTTAAAGATTTCCAAGCACTAACTTGGCCATCACCAGGCCCAAGTGAGCTACAGCCCAAAGAAAAATGCCTCCTGTACCCCAACCCAGGGCTGAGCAGGGCTACCTTATTCGCTAATATGAGGGAAGGCACCTTCTGAACAGCCAAAGCTTCAAGTCTATACAGCTTGCACTTTCCACCTCCATAGCAGACAGCTCTGCCGGAGAAGCCA